TCACTGTGCACTCCTAAACCGCAGCTAAGGAAAACATGCAGTATCGAGAATGAATGTGAAGGGTCAGAGTTGATTCGAAGCGTCAGACGGTTAGGGTGGATCGGGACCGTCGGAGCAGATGGCATCGGGCAGCTGGAGGGAAGATGAATTGGGCGGGAACAGTTTCATAACTGTACGCGCCGCACGGTTGGGAATGAATTTGAATAAGGGAATGTACCCATTAGAGTACATGGCTAGCTAGGTAGATTCGAATCCCTTGTACTCATATTTATATATTTGTGTTTGCATGTTCTTATTATCTCAAGCATTTTACATTCACTCTGCTATTAAGGTCAATGGCCCACCAACACTATCTAGCTGTGTGCGAACCTTCCTGAGCAGATCCTAGGAGCGATCACCACCTGATTGCAACACACACGAACAAACCCAGCCAAAACCCACAATAATAAATAAAAGATGCAAAATAACATGAAAAATACAATATGGCAAATCCTACAAGCGGCGGCCACTACAATTCTCTTGACAGAACTCGACTTCTTGATCAGTATGGCTCCTGAGAACAACAAAATACGCGAGGGGTGCACACAGGTTGCGCGCGGGGAGGAGGCAGGCCAAGCGCAGTTGCTGACGGGCAGCGCGAGCGACGCGGTAGGCAGCTGGGGCGCTGGCAGGGGGGCGTCGCGACAGCGAGAAGAAACGCGCGAGCCGTTTTGGGGGGTTGCGAAAATGAAAAAAAACGCGCCAGCGCGCTGGCAGCAGGGCAGCGCGTTGGCAGCAGGGCAGCGCGTGGCGCTTCGGGTAGAGCGGAATGGTGGGCCCTAGCAAGATCGGGATCCTACTCTGATAACATGGCAAGAATGTAACGGAAAGGAAATGGTTGGATTAGGAATGAAAGGGGATATATAGGTGAAACCCTCCCTCTAAGGTAAGGCCCACTACAGCCTATAAAGGACAAACAAATAATGTTTGACAATGTATACTGCTGCTAAAAACGTGAATTAGAGTGATTATGATTGCCCAATCATTGGCAATCAATAACGTACCGGAAGCCTCAAAGCCAATTTCAGGCAACCAGGGCCCAGTTCGGCTTGCTCATCAGCCCGGATGACTACAATACAGCGACCTCCCTAGAATCTCCCTTGATAACATCTTGACATGTTATCGAGGCTCCGGATGTCGGAAACTTCCCCGCTAGCCCGTGTGCCTCTCTTTCCTTGCCACTCTTACCCTCCTTCCGTCCCTTCTTCCAGACCCCCTTACTCTCCTGGGCTCTTCACCCCCCCTTCTCAGCAGCTCTGCCTTTTCCTGCCCCCTGTTGTTCTGCTCTCATGCCTTGTTCTTGGTTGACCCCTTCTTTCTTTCCTTCTCCCGACCGCTTCCCCTTTTCTCCCTCTACCCCACTTTTTTCTTGCCTTTGCTTGTGCTCTCCCTCTGCTCAGACCCTTCCTGCCCCCTCCCATGGCGCATTGCTGCCGTCCTCGCGCGTGTCATGGGACCCTGTGGTTCTCCTTTGTCCCGCTCGGTGCGAATCCTGGCCACGTTAGTGACATCATGTGCCACCCGCTTTCCTTTCCCATCCTCCAGCACTATAACCCCCGAAGGCCGCACTTCTCCTTCACGGTCCATCGCTGCTGGGAAAGTCCCACGTCCAGCGCGTGCTTACGCTGCCTCCTGAGATACACCTCTTCTTCCTCCCTTACTCCAGCCACTGCCCCCTTGTCGTTCGCCTCCTGCCTCTGCTTATACCGCTCTATGTCCCGCAGCTGCGCGACGTGGAGGTTCTCCAGAGCCGCCGGCAGCAGGTGCCTCAGATATGCCGCCCGCGCATCCGCCACTGCCACCCATTTCTCTGGCGTTCCCGTAGTCACCACATCTAGCAGTAGCCTGGGCGCCCCCACTGGCATCACGGGTTCATTGCCAAATAAGGGATAGTAGGGCGAAACGTCCTTGAGCGCTGCCTGTTTGCTGAAACGGTATCCCGCCATCACCCAGCAGAGCTTCCTGACCCAGTCCCTCTTATGCTCTTCCCTCAGCCCCTTGTTTACTGTCTGCACCGGTCGCTCCGTCAGCCAGTCGCTCTGCAGATGGTATTGGGATGTGGCTTGGTGTCTGCTGCCGCTAGCCTTCAGCAGCTGATCGAACGCCCCTTCGAACTCGGTGCCTTGGTCCGTCAGCACCTCTCCGCATGCCCCCAACCGAGTGACCACCATTTCCTCAAACGCTTCCGCCACTGCCTCTGCCGTTTTGTGAATCAAGGGCTTCGCCTCCGCCCACTTGCTGACGTGCTCGACCATCACGAAGATGTACCTCCGTCCCTTCGTGGTAACTGGCAACTCCCCTGCTATGTCCAAGGACCAGTGGTAGCCCAGGATCACTATGGACAGCGGCTGCAGCTCTGCCTTCTCCCTCTCCAGTACGGCCCACTCTTTGATTTGCTGTCGCATGCCTGCCCACCACCATCCCGTCTGCACCAACTACTGTGTCCGCAATGGCCCGTAGTGACCCAACTTTGTGTGTACTTCGCTTATGATGCCCTCCCGCTCTTCTAGAGGTGGGACATGCTTCCATCCCTCCCCCGTTAGTGGTAGTGTCCTTTAAACCAGCGGTAGTGTTCTCCCCTCACCCGCACTCTCGCCATCGCTGCTCCCTCCTCTGTGGTTGCCTAATCCATGCCAGAGCTTCCCGATCCTCCCAGATATCTGCCGGGTCCCCTTTCTTCTCCCCCCACGCCTGCCCCCTGTGTGCTTCCTTCGCCATTGTCACGAGGCAGGCTGATGGTTGCACTTCCGGTGGGTTTCTTGACAGGCCATCGACGTGTTGCATGGTTTTCCCTGGACGGTGCCGTATCTTGAAATCATACTCTTGCAGCTTCATCGCACATCGGGCATTCCTCCTTGTGAGGTCTGGCATCTGCATCAACCACAGCAGTGGCTGATGATCAGTCACCAGGGTGAACTTCCGGCCCTGCAGATACACGCGGAAGTGCTTCACCGCCCGGACCATCGCCAGGCCCTCCCCTTCGTACGAGGAGTAGTTGGCTTCAGCCGCATTGCAGCTGTGGCTCGCAAAGGCCACCACCGTCTCCACCTCCCCTTTCACCTGCGCCAGTACCGCTCCCATGCCCGCACTGCTCCAATCTGTGTACAGCGTGAATGGCAGATCTGCCCTTGGCAGTTCCAGCACTGCCCCGTTCTTCACTGCTCCCATTAAGTCCTGCACCGCCCTTTCCTGCTCTGGCCCCCACTCCCACTGCCGGTCTTCCCTCAGCAGCTGGTTCAATGCTGTGGCCCTGCTGCTGAAATTTGGCACAAACTTGCGGTAGTAATTAGGGAACCCCAGCAGTGCCCGCAAGGTGGTCCTGTCTTTCGGCGTGGCCACCCGATCCAGGACCTTCACCTTCGCCTTATGGATCCCAATTCTTCCCCCTTCCACCTCAAAGCCCAGATATTCCACTGTTGTCTGCCCGAATTTGCACTTCCCCGGGTGGCAGGTCGATTCCGATCCCTGTATGGCGTTCAAAGTTGCCTCTACATCCTTCACATGCGAGCTGCTGTCCGTGCTAAATACGATCACATGGTCGATGTAGCACGCGGCGTTCTGGTATCGTCCTTCCACGGCGCTTCTGCCACGTGTTCTGCGTCTGCTAGCTTGTCAAAGATCTCATCTGGCATCGGCGTCTGGTATCGCTTCATGACCGTGACTTTATTCAAGCCTCGGTAGTCCCCGCACATCCTTTTTGAGAGCACCTTTCCTGTCAGATCCATTCGCGCTGCTACCACTGTCGTCGCTGCGTACTCTGAGTTGGATTTCCGAATGAAGCCTTCCTCCAGGAGCTCTTGGCATTTCTCCTTGCATATATGTGTCTCTTCCACCGTCATGCGCCGCCACCTCTGATACATCGGGATCTCCGTGGTCAGCTCCAGCGTGACCTCTGCCATGTTGCACCTCCCCACCTCCTTCAGCAAGTAAGCGAAGGCCGCTCGATGCCTGGCTAGCACCCATTTTAATTCAGCCGCGTCTGCCTCTGTCCCGCATTCTCCTATGCCCCACTCTTTTTCCGTCTCTTCCAATTGTGGTACCCCTTGCTCCTGCCTTGGCTGACCTGCGCCTTCCACCCTTGTCGCTGTTTGCGGTGCCGCTTCAGAGCCCCCCGTCCCCTCTGAACCTGACGTTTTGTTTTGTGTCTGATCCTCCTGCTTTGTTGCCGCCATGAGCGCGAAGTCGAGTGATCCAAATTCTCGCTCGTAGCTCTCCCGGCTTTCCTGCCTCTCGATAGATTCCTCCAACCCACTGAAATCCTCGCGCCTTCTGACTACTGCTTCCTCCTCCCGATCTGCTGGGAGCCAGATGTCTGCCTGCTCCGCGTACACTACCGGTCTCTCATCCTCCTCTTCCCAAGGCTAGACCCATCTCCTCTCTAGCGGGTGCCCTCGCTCGTGCTGCATCTCATCGTGGACTTGGATTTCCACTAGCATGGCCCGTGCCTGTGCCACCTTTGCTGCTGACCTCTCCGTTGGTGGTCGTACTGCCGCGGCCTTGTCCCGCTTCCGTTCCCAGCGCAGCTGCGAGTGGTACATCCTGATCGCCGCCACCAACCAGTGCATCATGTTGAGATCCATGGCTCTCCCCAGCGCCCGCTTCCTCTCTGCCTCTGTCACTTCTGGGTGTGCCATTGCGTCCTCCATGAACCCCATGGCGAGTTCCTTTTCTAGCACCGTAGGCTCCTGCCATTCTCGTGCGGTGCAGTCATATACCATGCCCGGCCCCGGCACCCCGTCACGCATCCTGAAGGAGGTCGCGTCCTCGTGGGACACAAACGTCGGCCAGGCTTCCCCACCTTGTTGCGCGGGAATTGCGTCGGATGATCTGGCCGGTCCACGGGCGCGGCAGCCTCCATGTTCTAGTATGTCCTCCACCAGTAGGGGCACTTGCCACTCCATCAGCGAGAGGCGGTACTGCAGCGCCGCCAGACTCACCCCGTTTGTTCAGTAGCGGCGGATTCAGTGTGTCCTGCTTCCCGCTTGCGCCCCGTCTGCCACCACGCCCGGTCCCAGGGTAGCCGTTACTTCCTTGTGCGCCACCTGCACCTGTTCCCTCACGTCCCCTTCCATGTCCACATTTTCGACGATGTAGAGCACGTCCCCTTGCATCCGCTTGATGAGCCCTAGCACTCGCTTGAGCTCCCTGAACAGACGGCTCCGCTCGTCCCTCATGCCTCTGCCGGCTCCCGCTCGTGAGTAGCCATGACACTCCCATCCTACAATCACCACATCGATCCTCCCCCACTGCCGTATCTGGTGCTCGTCTATCGGGCGTATGTCGCATGCCCCACACAGCAGGCTCCACTCCAATGTCGCCGCGCAGAACTGGTGTGGGTATCTCTCGTGCAGCTTGTCCGCGTGTGACACCGCCATCTTAGCCACCTGCATGTCGCTTTCCACTAGAATCCATTTCTCCACGCTTATGCCCGACTTCAGCACCACCGCCAGCCCCATCCCAATGCCCACAACGAGGTCCAGCACAACGGTGGGTCCCAACAGCCTTTTCGTATTGGTGCACAATTCCCGCAGATCTATCTCTCCTCCACTCTGCTCTCGCGGCGCTGATGGCATTCGCGCGATCTGCTGCCAGGTAGGGATCCCCAGCTCTTCCCGCAACTCCGCTTCAGAGCACTGGTATGCCTCTCTCAGTTCCCTCCACACAAAGCGTACCGACAACGTGCCGATGGGTCCATCGTCTTCCCAATAGCAGACCCGATACTGCACCTCCTCCCACATGCATATGGTGGCTCCTATCCCAAACAGGTACTCCACTCCTATCAGTAGATCAAAATCTTCCGATTCTGATACTCGGCAGTAGACTCGCAGCGAGCATTTCTCCGTAGTCCCAGGATTGAGCATCAGCGCCATCGACTGCCTGGTCTTGGGCATCCACTTTGCCTCTACGCCATCGGCTGTCATTAGCAAATACCCCTCCGCGACTAGACGCCCCGGCTTGTGTAACTGCAGCTTCTCCGCGAGGCGCCTGCCGATGAGCACATGTGCCGCCCCCGTGTCTACTATCGCCCGCTGCGCCGTGAAGCCACCGACCGTGATCGCGCCTGCTGCAATGGTTAGAACCATTGCTTGGCATGTCATCCTCTCTCGCGGATGCCGGTAGGCCGCTCCATCACTCTCGCTGGCCTGTCTCCTCGGCCCGTACTCCCACCGCTCGTCCTCTGGAAATATCTGCCTTCGCGCTGTTCTCCGCAATCCCAACTCCTCTCGATCGCGTGCTGGCTAAGCCATCAGCATGGATTCTGGCTCATCCGTCTCCTCCTCTTCCTGAGCCACCATGGCTGGCTGCTTCTGTTCTGCCGCCTCTAACTCTGCCAATTGCGCACGCAGGCGAGCCATAGTAACCTGCCAATCCTCTCCCCCGTCCGTCCCCCGACGCTCTCTGCGTCCGCTGTAGCAATCCGCATCGCGATGACCTCTCCTCCTGCACCGAGCACAGACCGGCGCTCTAGGAAATTCTCTCCGCATGTGATCTCGACTCCCGCACAGGGAGCACGCCGACGGGTTTCGGCAGTCTCACCGCAGGTGCCTCGGCATGCCGCAGTTGTGGCAGCGCCTCGTCTCCTCTCTGCCTCGCTCTTCCGGCTCCTGCTGAGCGCATATAGCTGCCCACGCTGGCTGTCTCCTTTCTAGTCCTCTGTCTGCCGTCCGCTCTACCTCGTACAGCCGCCTCCCGGTTTCCACGCGTTCAACGATTTCGTATGCGTCCCTCAGCCTCGCTTCCGGCCCCAGCTCGAACGCGCACACTTGTACATCCTGTTGCAGAGACTGGCCCAGCCCGTTCACGAACTTCCCGAGGTCAACGTGGCTAGTGGGCGCAGTCGCTGGCGTGGAGTCGAGCTGGGCGTCTGCGCTGTGCACGTAACAAGGATGGGTGCACCAACCAGCTGCGCGCACCTGCGAAGCAGGTGCACCGTTCTCCTGCGGGTGCAACCATGTGCAGCCGACTTGCTGCAGCGTTGGCACACCATGGACTTGCAACGTTGACACATCGCTACTCTGCAGCGCTGGAGTAGTGCGACCTGGCCTTATAGCATGCAGATACAGACAAACAACATCCAACCTTCACCTAAATTGTACCCCTATAGTGCCTGCCCTGCTACACTATAGTCAACCAAACAAAACAGTACAATTTCGAGTTGGATAGAACTGAATCTGCACAATCAATTCAACCGAACCGCAAAGCTTCCATCTTGAGTGCCGTCTCCGTCTGCTTCTTTGACCTCCAACTAACAGGTCCTCCCCCAACTACACAGATGTATCCTCCCACAGATGAGGAATCCTCCTTCTCGGAAGCCCACGTAGCATCGGTAAAGCAAGTGAGAAACAGCTTGCCTTCTCCAAGCCTCTCCCCCTTCTCTTTCAGCACCTCAACCCCTTTCTGCTTCACCTGTGCAGATGCGGAGTATTGAACTCCAATGCTTGGGTGAGAGTTCAGATACTTCACCACACGCTCAGCTGCATCCACCTGCTCCTCTGATGGATTCTGCACCACCCTAGCCAGCTGCCCAACCGAGAAAGAGATGTCGGGCCTCGTGTGAACTGCTGCATACAAGAGGCTGCCCACCAAGGACTGAAATTGCTGCTGCTCCTCGGCTTCAACCCCTTCATCCTCTGCAGCTTTCACAAGCTTGAATTCTGCTGGCAGGGGAGTTGCAACTTTGCGCTCATTCTCAATCCCGTACTTCTCCCACACCTCCTAGATGAACTTCTCCTGGTGCAGCTTCAACCACCTGTGATCTGGATCCCTCTCCACATGCATCCCGAGGTAGTACTTTACCTCCCCAAGGTTCTTGCACTTGAAGTTCTCCATCAGCTGCAGCTGCACCTTCTGGATCTCCTTCATGCTGCTGCTAAAGAGAAGAATGTCGTCCACATAGACCAGAAACAGCACCAGCTTCCCCCCCTCCCCCTTGAGAAAGAGGCTCTCATCACAGCTGCTGGTCCTGAATCCCATCTCCTCTAAACCTGCTGCCAACTTCTGGTACCAGCAGCGTGGTGCCTGCTTCAAGCCGTAGATGGATTTTTTCAGCTTGCACACCCTGCCCGTACCATCCTCATACCCAGGCGGCTGCGTCATGTACACATCCTCCTCTAAAATCCCATTGAGGAATGCCGTTGATATATCCATCTGAATGATGAATTTCCCACTAACGGTTGCATCTACCAACAAGACACGGAGGGTAGGGGGTTTGGCGGTGGGAGCAAAGATCTCATTGAAGTCCTGCTTCTCCTTCTGCATAAACCCCTTAGCCACCAGCCTACTCTTGTAGATGGTGACCTGTCCTTTGTCATCGGTCTTGATCCTTAGCACCCAAGAAAACAGTAGGCAGGTTCATCCTCCTCATCCGGATCATAGCCATGCGGTAGAATCAGCAATGCCTCCTCGGTCCCAAGCTGCTGCTCTGCTACATCAGCTCCTGCAGTCAGCTTCTTAGTAGCCATACGGGTACGTCCTGGCCTGGAGACGGGTGTTTCCCATCCCCTCATAACGACACCCTTCGGCTTCATAGTTTTCCCCTGCTGCTGCTCTCCTCCCTCGGATCCAACAGCTCCATTAGTGCTAGTCTGCACATCATTTTCTCCACCAGCAGGTGCCTCTTGTATCTTCTTTCCATCACCACCCTCTGCAGCTGCCTCCTCTCCCTCCTCCCACACACTAGGAGTGAGGTCCAGCTGCATGGTGATCTGCTCTTTGTGCTGGGACACCCTGGCCTCCGGCTGTTTCTCCCAGCTCCCAGACATAATGCCCTCAACAAACTTCACATCCCTGCTGTAAAAAAACACACCCTTGGATGGTTCCCACAGCAGCCATCCCTTGCTCTCAGCAGCCAGCCCCAAATGCACACACCAGATTGCACTCGCCCCCAACTTACTGCGGTAGGTCTTGGGGACGTGGGCGACTGCCATGCAACCGAACACCCTCAGCATGTCCACCGGCGGCTTCCTCCCAAGCCACCTCTCCAACGGCACCCACGAGTCATCCCCAACCTTAATGAGTACCCTTTTTCTAGCGACAGTAGCGTGCCAAACAGCATGGGGCCACATCAAGCTGCCCAGCCCAGATTCTACGAGCAGCGCCCTAGCTGTCTCCAGAATTGTCCGGTTCGCCCGTTCTGCTACACCGTTGGACTGTGGGGTGTAAGCCGTGGTCAGCTCCCTCTGGATGCCCTGCTTCTTGAGCCAGGCCGTCATCTCAGCTCTAAGGAACTCACCACCCCGATCTGTCCTAAGCCGCTTCACCACACACTCCGCTTGCTTCTCCACGAATGGCAGCCGATCTTCGCGTATCGCGGAGGCGGCGTGGTCCTTCTACTTCAGCGGATATGCCCACATAAGCCTGCTCCAATCATCCACTATGGTCAGAAAGTACCGCTCCCCCTTGTGCCCCTGAACCGGCAGCGGCCCCACCAAGTCCATGTGGACCAGCTCCAATGGCTTCTTGCTCCTGCCAGCGACACTATGGAAGGGGAAACGGGTAAACTTTGAGAGCAAACAGATTTCACAATTCTCATAAGGTGGCTGTCCGTTCAGCTTCAGACCCTTAACGGCTCCATCTTTCTCCAACTGCTTCAACAAGGGCATTGCCACATGCCCCAAGCGTCGGTATGCCGTTGCCCAATCTGTCTCCCCAGATCTGGCCGACACTTTCACAACAACCCCTCCAACGGCGTTGCACTCCCCCTGGGATGCAGACCCCTCTCCAGCCTGCCCCCCATCATGCCACGCCAACGCCGGCAACTGCCACATGGATCTGTACACATCCGTGCTCTCGTGCAGATCCCAAAGCACCCGATTGCCCAGCTGCCCCTTGTAAGTGCGTGCCCCATCCGTGCTAGTGCTCACCCCAGCCTTGCCAAGCTTACGGAGGGAGATGAGGTTGGCCTTGAGTTCAGGAACGAGGAGAACGTCGTGCAGCACCACCGGCTTGCCATCCGCTCCCTTAAACGCAGCTCGTCCCGCACCAGCCACCTTCAGCGCGTGTCCAGAGGCGGAGCACACCTTGTTGATCGGTGCAGCGCGTACGTGGTCCAGCAGGTCCTTGCGCGGCGTCATCGTCCAAGCAGCGCCCATGTCCAACACCCAATAGTCCAGGGGGTGCAGCTCTGCTCCAACCTTGGCAGATGCATCTCCTTGCTCCCCCTGCTCTCCAATATGGAAGAACTGGCCCGCGGTGCACTCCTTCTTCTTTTCCGCACCGCCGTTGCTCTTCGGGTTGTTGTCGGACGAATCGGCGACCATGTTCGCGCCGTTTTTCTGGTTCCTCCGCGCGCCGCCATCCTGGTGACGATTCTGGGGGGTCCATCCATCGGGTTTCTTATAGCACAAAAACCAGGGGTGCCCCTCTTTCTCACAATACCAGCAACTCCCTTTCATTTTGCCACCAGCACCCGACTTGCCCCCACGTCCAGATTTCGCACCGCGACCCCAACCGGTACCTCCTTGTTGGTCGCTGGAGTCGTCGTCCTTTTTTGCACCGCGTCCAGCACCACCGAAGCCACGTCCTCTGCCACGTCGGCTCCCTTGCATCCCGTAGCCACTGCTGCCGTCGTCTC